AGAGAGAGAGAGAGAGAGATTTACAGTGACATGCTTCTGTACGATTATGCTATGCTGATTGCATAAGCTAAAATGCCTAACATACATGAGCTTACCTGTACTATTATAATGATTGCAGACACAATTGGTGGACCAAGTAATACAGACAACAAAATCCCTTTAATCATGTCCCTGAAGAATAACCATATTGTTTGCTGTAGAAGAGATATTAAATAAGGCATTAGGACAATAATAAGGAAGTAGACCGGACAACAATGAAAACTTCCAATTTCTTTTAGTGAAAAGACATAGGAAAAATAATTGACCAAAATTAAAGAAAAGTGGACGTATCCCATTGTTAGTGAGTTAATGGTGTTTGGATAAAGATACATACTTTATTGAAACCATGGCGGGCTTCAATCACAAAAGTCGAGTAGAGAGAAAATGGTAGATCTGTGATCTACAAATAAGTCCAAACAACCAATCACATAAATATCACGAGTTCAGCCCATAAATGAAAATATTTTAGAACTTCAAAACCAAGCAGTCAAGATATTTTGTGAAAAAGTGAAAACCCAAATTATTGGGGAATAATTCAAAAGAGATAAATAACTCCAAAGTGAACAGTGAAATTTAGCTATTTCTAATGCTTCCTCCCCGTCTCTATCCTTGTCAGTTGTCATTGAAGACTCTCATTTCTATCTTTCCATTTTCATTTAGTAGAACTTCTCTGATTCATACCAACAGGCGAGAGATACAACACACAATTTTTTAGAAAAAAGTTGCATGCTGAGTTTGATCTCCAATTCAAATGCAACTGGCAAGTTTCTTTTTCTACAGTCAATTAACAAACACAAATTTACACAACTCACAAATCCAATCGCCTGAATGGTAATGGCATGTTAGAATCAATGAGTAGACGACAACATACAGTTTTGAACCATACACAAAGAAAGTATGCTGCTCTGTGTAACATAACATGGTGGACCAAACTATATAAATCAGGATATTCAGAAAGAAGATTGAGTTCAATAACTTCTTTACTTCAAGAACATGAAAATTAAATTATGAGCACACCTGTGACCAAATCATGACCCCAGCTAGAAACGCAAGTGTGTGTAGAATTTCATTTTCAGCATTGAGGCCAACCGTCACCACAAACTCTCCAGATTTCTGCATGTGATTGCAATAGTGGACAATAAGAAATTTTCAACAGAAGAAAGTAAAAACTTCAATGAATTAATTCACTCACCTTCCAAAACCACGGCAGTATGCCAAAAAATAGTATTGAAGAATCCATCACTATAGTTACCAACTCATGAACAAAATGAAAATAGCTGAAAGTCAAGAGGCACATGTTATAAAGATTAAAAACCAAAATAAATATAAGGCAATACTTAATCATTTGATATAATTGCTATGCTTAGTGTGCGACTCGTCGGTTTTTTTAAGGTTAGGATTAAAAATAAAAAGGATCAGCCGATACATAATCTGAACTAATAATTATAAAACAAATAACCAACTAATTGCTACGCATTATCTGGATCTAAAAAATCAACCATGCAAGATATGTTATATTGGTCATATCATTGTAGCAACTGAAATCTTTTTTGCATAAAAAAAAAACAATCCGATTATGAGTTGTGAAGCAATAAAAGTATGCGGATAAATGGAAGGGTGAAAGAAAGAGAGAAAAATAAAGTTCAGGGAAAGTATGGACAAAGGCTGACTTTATAAAAGAAACAAACCTTTTATCAAGACTGTATGCCCGGGATTTTTCAAACTTCTCTTGGCTAATAACTCCTAACAAAGTTTTTGGAAGGGTTGGCAGTTTCAGAGCAGCATGTTGCCGTAGATCCAAATAACTTTCAAAAATATACATCAATATCATGAAACCTGCGGAAAAAAATCCATACATCAGAAAAGCAGCTATTGCATCCCTTTCCTTTATCAATAAATTAATTAACCACCTCTATTCTAACAGGTAATAGATAAGTCAAGAAGGAAAACTACATCAACCGACTTGCACATATACTCTCGCAATAATTATATTTCTTCAGAGACTCGCTCAATTGAATCGCAATAATTCAATGTACGACACAAACTCATTTCGAAATCAAATTGAAGCAGCCCCGTCCTATGGACCGTAGGAGAAGCTATAGCAATTCGAACATTACAAAGCATGCGATCATCATTTTCCGGAGCACTAATCAGACTTGCAATAACTCATTCAAAAGCATTTCCAATGCCTAAAATCCTAATCAATAACACAAGCGTAAAACCCTAACAAAAACATTACAATTCCGATAATGTTTAGAGAATCAAGAAGTTAAAACATATAAAGACGCAACAAAGCTCAGCGGATCTAACAGACTTCATGATCGTCGAAGCTACTAAAACGAACGGGAGGTAGCAAAAACCCGAAATCAAAAACCAAACGTGAAGCATCTAAAGACGAACACGAAAAGATTACGTGCATAGACATTAACAGAAGCAAGAAGTAGGTGAAGAGTGAGTACCAACAACAGCTTCCATGTACGGAAATGCCATGGCTGAGCGAAGAAACTCAATGAGTCGACTATGCAGAGAAAAAATGGTCGACGGTGCGTTTGCTTAGCCGAGGAGCTTCGTCTTCGGTGGATATTTATATCAAAAATATTTTCAATCGGGTCTGATGGAATCCGAAAACCCGGCCCAGCTTATCACCGGTCCGTTGTCCCGTTGATCTTGGAAATTTTTTGCCAATCGTTGGTTGTTGACTCTTTTTTAAAAGTACAGTAAATTTGAGAATACCAAATTCCAATTTTTAAATAAATGTCAATTATTGTTAAACTATATTAATGTTTGTAATTACTAAATTGGTATGTCCACCTTAAAATGGTATGTTTAAACATAATTCCATATTTTTAATAGTCCTGTTATCATTTAGTTAATTATGTGATTATACTATGTTATAATTTAAAATTCGAAAAATGTATTTAAAAAAATTCAAATACAGATTTTACCTTGACTGCTTATTTATCATCCTTTAACTGCCTTATATTCAATTAAAATCTTTTTATAATTTATAATTGTATTCTTCACTCTATCAACACACTATCACTTAAAACTTTAAAGTTAATGGGTTTCTCGAGATTTTTCATTCTTCTAAAAAATAAGGATTTGGGGTAACTTAAAAATGTGCGGCTCCCGAAACATATATATAGGTTTCAATATTTCTTTAGTCTCTAAGACGGGAATTTCCTAATCGGTGACGGATTCCCGTTATAAATATATATTTTTAAAATTTTTAATTTGTTAATTAATTTTTGTTATTATTAGTATAAAAAATGAACAAAAAGTGGCTAAATTGGGTATTAACTTGAGTATTTTTAATTAAAAAGTGTTTATAAAATTAATATATATTAATATTATTATAAAAAAAATAGAAAAAGTAATAAAAAAATTAAACGGGACGGGGACGGGTCGGGGAGACCGATCCCTGTCCCCGTCGGGAAACTCGATTGGGATCCCCACCCGATCGTCAAGTACCCGCAGGGATCGAGTCCCGCGGGTATTTTTGCCATCCTTATCTCTAAAGGACCGTTTTGTAACGTTCTCATTTCTCGTTCTCATTTCTAAATTTTATTAAGAAACTTAAGCATTTTACAACCAAGTATGTTTTTTGTTCTTTTTTTTTTTGGATATATTCTCAAAATTGTATAGAAATTTTGTAAACAATCAAGATAAGTTTCTTGTTTATGCTTCCAATTCATTACAATACATAAATATAAATATTATTTGATCTTTCTTGGATTCATGGAGTAGGACTATACTATTTTTCTTTATTAAAAATAGAGAGACAGGAACAAGAAATAGAAACGTTACTAAATCAGCCCTTAATTTTTTACTATGATTTTTGTCTTATACCTTCAAAAGATCTATTTTTATTCACGTAATTCAATTTTATCCGTTTAATTCATTTTGAGAGTATATAGACTAAAATTAATTAAACTCAGAAGTATAAAAATAGTATTTAAATCTCTATATATATATTAGTCTGATGGATTGGATCATCATTATCCAATCTTTAAAAAAAACTATATTTAAAGGTAAAATAGGAAGTTTATAAATATATAAAATCATTACGACATGACATAATTGATGCTAAAAGTGGGGGAAATGGTTAAGTACAATTCAGCAAGGGTTGGTCGGCTAGATTTTTTTAGGATTCTCATCTATCTACTTCCTAGTTTCGAATATTTTTTTGATGTGATTGAACTATATAATTCACAACACAATTCTTTCAAGGAAAAAAAGCATACTGGCAGATGATATGGCTGAATCTTTCCCTGTTTTCAGAGAATATCACTACAAAATCACATGTTATAATTTATAGCTCTTACTATGCAGAGGAAGTTCTAGGATTTGAGCAATGGCTACTGGGATTTACTGCTCTAACGCAGCAACCGGTGCCAGAACTCCGTTCGGGTCGGCGAAATTGAGCATCAAACTTCCGAGTTATAGGGACTGGTCTCACAAACAAAAATCTATAGCACCATCAAATTGGCATACACGATACAGCCCATTCTAAGTTTGCTCGAGTGCAGTTTCTTCTTGTACAGATACAAGAAATGAGTTGAAGCTTAAAAGTTGTGTGACTGAAATAAATTAATTACCTCCGAGCTCTTCCCTTGGATTTGGAATCAAAATGGTGGGACTTCAGCTTCTTTTTCCGCATCAAAGTTGCAGAGCCACTGCTCTCTCTGAAAGGCATTCCCATGAGAGCCAAGAGTCGCTGAGCTTCTTGATCTGTTTCAGCTGTTGTTGTGATGCAAATGTCCATCCCCCTCGGTTTGCCGAATGTGTCGAACTTTATTTCTGGAAACACGCTCTGTTCGCGGATGCCGATGGAGTAATTTCCATGTCCATCAAAGCTATTTGAGTTCACTCCCTGAAAGTCCCTCGTCCTAGGCAGCCCCAAGTTGATCACACGATCCAGGAAGGAGTACATCACCTGTAAATACAGTCAATAAGCAAGCTGCCTAAGAACTGAATAGTCTTTAAGATTTAAGACATGAGTGCCAAGTCACACCCATAACTTCTTTCCGTGTAATGATGCTTCATACTTTCCATTATTAAAACTAAAGGACACAGTAGTACAACCTATAAAATAGATCCTATTCAAGTAAGGTCGTCCACTATTACAACCTATAAAACAAATCCTGTTTAAGTAAGGTCGTCCATTATTACAACGTTAGGTTTATGGTTCTTTCACATTAATTGGCATAAAAATCTTGTACTCTAAATGAGTATTACGGTGATAAGTGTGTCGAGCCCATGAAGGAGCAACTCCCTCCTCCACGGTCATTCCTACAGACTTGTTTTAGACAATTATCTAGAATAATTGAATTCCTAGCATCATCATACAAGAGAATCCACTACACTAACCAGATTAAAAGCATATACAGAACATGAAAGTAATATTAACTAATACATGCAGCCACAACCATGACTTCATCAATTCAATGATGCTAGATACCTTCCACGCACTCGTTCGAGGACATTCCTTTGCACTTGTTTTAGACAATCATCTCAAAGAATCAAATTCCTAACATCATCATACGCGAGAAATCTACCACACAAACACATTAAAGCATATAATATCATCTTCGTAACATTGTTACTGTAAATATGACATGAAAAGGAACTACAAATGCATATCAAATACAAATATTGAAAATCAGAACCAATTCCAAGTACCAAAACGTACTTTCCAATTCAAGATACGCTGAACCAAGTAGCACTGAGGACTATAATAGGAGCCAAAAGATCAAAAGAGACAATGACTAACAGAAAATTTTAAGAAGAACAAGGAGAACTCACACTTCCTCGAAGAGTTGCAGCAATCCCAAGTGGTTGACCTTCCCTGATCTTGAAGGTTGCAATGGACTTCTTTGCACGCGTCTTCACAGGTCGTTGTCCTGTAATCAATGCTAGCTCATTCATTGCAGCTTCCAAACCTTTCGCATTCTGTTGTGCATCTCCAATACCACAGTTCACAACAATCTTTTCAATTTTTGGGACCTAACAGAAAAGGTACAAATATTTCCTTAAGATAATCATGTTTATTCGTCATATGTGCTGTCAAATGTTTAAGAGGGAGTAAAAGAAAAAAAAAAACACTTAAACCAGAATTCTGAGCCCACTAATTAGAATCACAACCACAAAAATTCAAAATTCGAACTTAAATCTAGGAGAACAAGTACTGTAGCTGTAGCATACTACTACTGAGTATAAGTATGAATTTGGTCCCAGTTTTCTGGGTATTTAATTCATCAAGAATTCTTATGTTCCATATGGGTGTAAATATTTGCATACAAACTATAGAAGTACGTGTGTGGTTTTATATTAATGTGCATTTCCCTCCAATAAAAGGAACTTAAACCTCAGCTAAGCCAAGTGGTTATGTTCATAGTCGAATTTCATGGGTTGAAAGAAGGGGTAAAAACAAACAATCAACATTTTCCAATTCTTTTAATAATCTCAGAACACATTAATGATCCCTCCGCAAACAATTAAAACTAAACTCTAAAATTACCTAGCCAATCCAACCCAACCTCCACGAAATTTAAAACCCGGCGAACTCCAGCCACCAATTGAGCAAATAAATTAAGAATTCAACCAACAGCTAATAAATTACGAAAATATTCGGTCACCACCTGGTGGATATTGGTGTAGGAGAACTCGTCCATAAGCAGCGGCACGATTTTCTCGATGTAATTGGATTTGAGCCTGTTGACCTTCTCCGCCTCTGCCTTCTCCACAAGCACTATAGAATCACCAGCCGCGGCCTTGACTCTCACCGCCAATGGAGCTACATTGCTAGGGTTTCCGCACGCACCCGGTGCAGGAAACCGGACCGAGAAGAGCGGGCAATGACCATGAAACGACGACGCGGCGGAGCTCAACAGCGAAGAAGCGGCCATCGGGGTTCAGAGGAGCTTCTCCTTCGCTCTGTGAAGGAGTTGATTAAAAAGAGCATTTCACAGCCAAAGGAGTTTTCTTAATTTCAAAAATTCCGTGAATAGCCTCGTAGTTCCACGTTATTACCAATATGCCAAACTCAATAAGGCGTTGGGATCTTTGTAAAATGGGGTGATGATAGGGGTAATTTCGTCATTTCGGCTGCCTGAGAATAGAATTGGATAAGGGAGAGATTCACTTGGACGCCATGTCCATGCTCGTCTGCTGAGAGGATAGAAATATAACCTTTTTTTAATTTAATTATAAATAATTTTATTGACTATTCTTCTTTTTACCATATAAAATCAAATCATTTTTTACTATTGTTCATTTATAATATAAACATTTTAGGTTTAAATTCCACCCTTATTCCATTTTTTTTTCTTAAACTTCGAGTTTTTTATAATTTGATGTTTGATGGTGATTTAACGTTCTTCGTTCTCGATTCTCATTACTCTCTTTATTGTTTATGGTTTCTCATTTCATGTTTCATATTTTGTCAGTAAATACAAATATAACTACGTTATAACATTATTTCTTCTTTTTTATTTTTTTATTAAAAAATAGAAACATTTTTTGTAACCAAATTTTGTTATCTGGCAATATTATCTAAGCTTGCTACTATAGAATTATTAATTTTGTGTCGAGTTTACTAACGAAGATTGTGTGATCAATTAAATTCAGGACATTTGATAAGACTGGCCGTGAAGATAGATTTTATTTGCAGCATATACTTTATTGTTTATCATTCCAATTTCATTGATCATTTGACATGGGGTTCTAATTCGTTGACTTGCAAATTTTGTAGATATTTGACTAATCGTCTTATACCTCCTCAATTTTAATCATCTGAACTCTATTCGAATTTGTGGGATTGTTTAAATTTCAGTGGTACACGATAGAGGGTGAATTTTGCCTTAAGATAAACTTTGGTTTTATTTCAACAATAACATGATTGCCTTATGTGTGACATTTTAGGTCCTATTAATATACATGTTTATTTTATTAATTTTATGGATGATTGTTCTCGTTTAACTTGGACATATCTCATGCAACGGAAATCATCTCCTCACTTAATTATTCCATGGTTGTTTAAAATGGTTGAAATTCAATTTCATAAGGTCATTAAGGTTTTAATTTCAACAATGCGTCTGAACTTCAGTTTATTGTTTTTTTTTTCCACTAATACGAGAACTTTACATCAAATTTCATGTATTAAAGATATAGAGTTTATAATAGATACAAACTACTTGTCTCATTGTCAATTAATTTTGAGATGGAACTCGATAAATATTGATAACCCAAACTTTGTTTTTTTAATCCCGCATTTTACTTTGATTTTGTGGGTTTTATATCGATATATATATACCTTCTTCTCAATGTTAAATAATTCACTATGTTGAATTATCAATTTATTTCAATATATGGATGAAGCGAATTGGAATGAGTTATACATCATTTTGACAAATTTGTCAAGTAATAAATAATATATATATATATATGACGGTGAGGTACAATACGTGAGGGTGATGATGGTTCTAATTCAAGACCTTCTGATGATGCCTTAATTGCTATGCTCATTTTGAGCATCTTTATTGATTAAATGTTGAATCTTAATTCAATCAAATTTATTATATATATATTTTTTGGTGGAAGACATTTGCCAATTAGCTAGGCTCATTTTGACAATATTTATTAGTTAAATTGATTTTATATTCCTAATATATATATATAGAGGTATATTTATGTGACAATCAATCAAATTTATTGCATTTTGAGGTTTCATTTAATTATCTTATTGCATTAATGTCAAAGTGAGTGTAGTTCCACGGTAATTGACATATATGTCTAATTAAAAGGTCGTGAGTTCGATTCTTACTAGTAGTAGCTGGTGCTACTTCGCTCTTTAAACGTCCTATTGTTGTCTTAAAAAAATAAATCTTATTGCATTAATTATGAACACAATAGGTACGAACAAAATAACCTCTCAAACAAATTTTAACGAATTATTCGCTAGATGGGTTGGTGACACACGTATTTATTTATTTTCCCGAATTACCACTTAATTGTTTTTTTCCATTGTAAAAAGAAAAAAATTGTTTTTCTCAAAGAATATACTAAAAAAGAAAAAGACACATAAATTAGATTTTGGAAAAAAGGAAAAATTTTGAAAACAAATTAAAATTGCTCATGCTCAATGCAAGGTACCGGAGCCGGCGCGCTAAAAATATAGAATTCGGAGGCTCAAATTTATTTTAAACCCGTTTTATTTTTTTTTTCTCGAGGGTAAAATTTCCCACCACCACCACGCTCCAAAACGTCGCGTGAAGAAAACGTCCAATAATATCGAAGCGAAGTGCCGAAGTCTTGGGCGCGTGGATTACGGGGAGCAACATGCGCGTGGGGTTACCTCAAAGTCGTAACTAAGTTGAATTTTTTAGTTTTATTATTTTGTTCCTCATTTCTGATGGATGTGGTTTAGGTTGATGAACAGAGATCAGAAAAGCCAGCACTCGATTTCTCTCTCGCGTCCATTACTCGGGAAAATCCATAGATCAAAAACCCTAAGCTTCCAATCCGTGAAGAAGCTCGTATCCATGGGGATTTCTTTATGAATTAACTCGCGTTTTGGATCCAGGTGTTCTGATTTTTTTTCCATGTACCAAAACCCTAGTTTCAATTTCGAGCTATCGGATTGAACAAAACCCTAGGATTTGTTGTGGTTCAACGTCTCTGATTACGAGTAATAACGAGAATTTCGTTTGTGTTGGATGGATCATACGGGAATTGGATTTGTGATTTGTGGAAAGCGCGATTCTACGTAATAATCTGTTTTATGGGGTTGAGTTTTCATTGAAAAAAGTGGTAAACGGGAGTTGGAGATTGATAAAATTTCAGCGAGTCGGTTTGGGTGGATGGATTTTCACTTTTTGCTGGATTTGTTGCGCATTCAGCTGGATCAAAGATGGGATTGCCTCTGAGTCCGCGTTTTTAATTCTTCCCGACTTCAATTAGCTTCGCTTGAAAAATTATATTCGAGGACGAGGTGATGGGGAGAAGTTGTCAGTGTGTTGCCTGCATTGAATTAATTGGTTTTCTTTCATGAACGAGTTGGTATAGCATCTAATAAGTGTAGAATTAGCTTGCGGCAATTCTTAGGCGGCTTTGTTGATAAACCTCTGGTTGTTGCTCAGTAATCTGGCTCTGGTGCTGTTCAAGACTTTTGCATATTGATCGACTGTGCTGGTAATATTGTTCAGGCCAAGCATCGCAGAATGAGCCTTATGAAGGATGATTCGAACTCACACGATCAGACCGCTACAATAAAGCATGAGTTGCAAAAGTAATTTTCTACCATTTGCAGTTCCGGCTGCAATACCTGTGGTTTATTTTCTCATTTCTTCCTGCTCCTTTAATATTCGTCTTCCACTATGAATATGTGTTTTGTTGACTATATTTTCCCAATCTTTAGGAAATCCAAGATTTCTTACACGAGAGATTTCCTCTTGTCCCTGAGCGAATTGGATATTTGCAAAAAGTTACCGAGCGGTTTTGACCAATCAATTATCTCGTACGATGCTCTTTCCTGAATTTTATACTGTTAAATTTTTATTTATTTTTTATATGCGCAACTGAAGTCCGTACCATAGAAAGTAAAGAATCAACGATAAGCCTTGTGGTCGTTCTTGTTTTCCTTGTTGAATTATTTTTCTGAGTACACGTTCCCCCTTGTGCAGTGAATTTGAAGACGCTTCCTATGATAGGCAAAGAATTTCTGGAGGTTTGTCTTTGAATAGTTTTAGGCGAAACGAGTATGGTTCATCACCACCCAGTAGGGCAGAAGCGAATAATTATTCTCGTCGGATACATGGAAAGAGGGAAGTTCATTCTTCGGGACGAAGTGATAAAGATAGTGATTCACAATCTGATAGGGATTCAGGTAAGGTCTCAGCTTAATCTATTATCAAGTTTAAGTAATTACATTGTTCCATACAACTTAATCTGAATATCGCATCCTATCCGGCTTGGTTAACTGTTGGGTTTCTTCTGTAGTTGATTTAATTTACTAGAATACTGCTGTTTCTGAAATCATTTCAGTAATGCATGTGTGTTCATGTATATTTATAATCTTAATTCTGCCATCGTAAGCTGGCCTAGTGGTCAATAAGGATCAATGTAAATAGGATTAAGTTTAAATCATGGTGGACACCTACCTAAGATATAATATCCTACCAGTTTTCTTGGCAACCAAATGTAGTAGGGTCAAGCGGTTGTCTCGTGAGATTAGTCGAGGCGTACGCAAGCTGGCCCGGATACTCATGGATTAGAAAAAAAAGCATTGTCAGCATTGCTTCATTCCAAAGCAGAGCAACACAAGAATATGTTGTTTGTATTGGGTTGATACCTTATAAGTGTAGACTTGAGTTTGTTCAAACTATTCAATTCTGATTTATATTGTGAATTGCTATGATATTGACCTTTTAATTATTATTTTAACAGTGGATTCTGGGTGGCGTTATGGTGATCATTCTAGGAGGTCTTTGCAGGGTCCTGAACATGATGGACTTCTTGGCAGTGGTTCTTTTCCTAGACCATCTGGATATGCTACAGGATTTTCAGCGCCGAAGGTTCGAGCTAATGAGCAATACCAGCTCAACAGAAGCAATGAGCCATATCATCCACCTCGTCCTTATAAGGTTCACATCATATTTCCTGATATCTCTACTTGTGAACAATTAATTATTTGTCTTTAAACACAAGCAGAGTCATTTTGTTGAATTGGTAAATGAATTACTCAACAAGAATTTGAAATTATGTTGATTAAGCCTTCCTTATGCATGATTTTATTTCATTAATCAGGCTGTAGCTCACCCCAGAGGGAATATTAATGATTCATACAATCATGAAACTTTTGGTTCTTCTGAGGACACAAGTGAGGATAGGGTTGAAGAGGAAAAAAAGAGAAGAGGTAATCACTATTTTCTCCATGATGCTTGTACACTTTGGCACATCTTCAGATTTTGTTCAAATTGTTTCTCCCAACAATTGGTACATTCTATCTGAGAAACTTATTTTGCAGCTTTATTTGAGTCGATGAGGAAAGAACAACACAGGGCATTTCAAGAAAGTCAGAAGTCAAATCCTGTGAAGCAAAGAGATGAGTTTGGCATCATGATGCAGTTGGATGAGTCTAAAGATGATAAGAAATTGCTTAATACAAGCAGTGGTTTTGATGAATCTATCATCTTACAGGCTTCAAAGAATGATCGAGAAAAACCTTTTCCATCACATACAACTGTATCTAGGCCACTTGTGCCGCCTGGATTCACGAGCAATGTGTTGGAGAAAAGCTTTGGAACAAAGTCTTCAGTTAATCCTCATTTTCTGGAGGTGATTATTTGTTTTTTTTTTATCATATTGTTGTGGTTTTAATAGGTCTGATTATAATGTTGTTTCCCATTTTAAAGTTGTCAATGTCCAATGACTCCAAGCTTCTACAGGTTCCTGTGCAGTTTGGCTTTTTCTGTCATATATCATTATAATAAATAGCTCTTCTTATTGACCTCATTTGGCAAAAGTTAACTATTTCATTAAGTGCACATATGTTCATCATTTTTGTAGGTTAAAGATGATGTTGTTGACAAGTCTTTGCAAACCAAAGATGAGCATTTGCACAATGGAATCTCTGAAGATTTAGTGGAGAAAAATTCATCAGAGCAAATGGGTTGCCCTGAGCAATATGGGAAAACAAGCATTAATGCTTCTGCTAACAACACTAGTGAAAAGATTATTGATCTTTTTTCAGCTGTAGACATGTCTAATAAAACAACTGGAATTGATGTCGAATCCCTTGAAAGTTCTTTGCAAGCTCTTCAAGCTTCTGAAAACAGAGCAGTTGCTGATTGCAAGACTGAAAAGGTGCTGGCGAATACAGCCATTGGTGAAACAAGTCAAGTCCATTCATCTTCAATCTTGGAAAAACTTTTTTGCAGTGCCATAAAGTTAGATGGCGGTGCTACTAATTTTATTGAGGTACTCATGATTTCTATAGCATCCTTCGATACCTGTTTTAACCACCCCACCCCCATCCCCACAAACACACGGAACTGAAAAAGAAAAAGAAGCATACCTCCCTAGTTATTAATGTTCTGTCTGCTTAATAATTTTATTTGTGAGGCAGCATTCTTTTAATGCACTACATGATTTATTTAGAGGTTTGTTGAAATATTATATAACAAATCATTTTTACACATTGTATTAACTTTCTGGTCTTGATCTTTTAAGTTTGACAATGAAATACATGAAACAATATCCTATGTGTATTATTATTAGAAGGTACATGATCCTAGGTACTTACCCAGCTTAGGTTTCTCAAATATCAAGTTATTAAAAACAGCCATAAAAGTTAAAAAAAAAATGCAGAATTAACTCCAAACATTTGGATATTTTTTCTGAATTGCAATTTTATCATAGGGAAATAATTGTATAGTGACAAGCATTTGGTCCCAATTGAACGTGGGATGATATAATTTGTAACTATACCTTTTTCGTTGCATGTCAAATTATGATGCATCTATCACTGATGTGTGTTTCCCTGGTCTTATGTAGCAGCATGAAAATGAGATGGAGGATGCATGTAGCCCTCAAAATACGCAATCTTCTAAATTTGCTCACTGGTTTGTGGACAATGGTATGTTGGTAAAATTTCTACACGCGAAAGATTACCGAATACCAGTGGCTTATACACTGATTTGCTTTGAGTTTTTAGGGCTCATAGCTCATTTTTTCACCATGCAGATGGGAAACAGGAGGATGGCGTTTCACCTAAAAGGTCAAATGACTTGCTTACTTTAATTGTAGGTGGAGAAAAGGGTGGATATGACATATCTGATGTTGCTTCTGAGCAATCTCTGCCTACTGTTGCATTTCATGGTTATGAATCTGCAGAAAGTTATATCACATCAAGTGAAACATCGTCCAATGCTCAGAAGACTGAGCCATTTTATGATAAGAGTAAGCCAGAGGCTGTTTCTTCGATCCTTACCTGTGAAGCCGTTGAACAGACACTGCTGTCAAAAATGAGCGAAAATGACTCAGCTTTGCAGCCGTCTGATCAAAGATGGAGTCATTCTGATGCTAATAACAAGCATCCAACTGGAAAAAGTGATGATCATGCATCACAACACCTTCTCTCATTGTTACAGAAGGGTACGAGTCCGATGATTGTGGGATATGGCAGTGATGATGGTTGGAATATGGGCACTGGAATTCACAATAAAAAGGAGGAAAGTAGCCACAACATTTCAAATCCAGGCAAGACATTAACTCTTGAAACACTTTTTGGGTCTGCTTTTATGAAGGAGCTTCAGTCAGTTGGAGCTCCAGTTTCTGCACAAAGGGGTTCGTCGGGGTCCGGAAAAGTTGATGTTTCAGAGTCTCATGGTCCGATCATGGATGATGGTCTCTTGTCCAACAATGAAATTCGACCTAGTATGATTAATCATGATCATGGTGATCAAAGGCAGCAAAATCAACCAGATTTAGTTCGTGGGCAGTGGTTAAATCTGAATGGCCCTCGACCTGAATTGGATTCTTCTCATCCCCAAGCTAAGTTAGGACATAAGATTGGCGGTTATGATGGACCAGCTGAAATGCCCTTTCCTGAAGAGGACAGTCTAATCATAAGCGATTCTATGAATTTCCAAAACCTCATTTCTATCGGGAATTCAATTAAACCTCAACCACTGTTCTCACACCACACACAGGACAACAATTCTGCAATATTTAACTCTGCCTTTAAGGATGAAAGGCCTAGCATGGGAGGTCTAGAAGGGCTGCCCTTTTCAGCTAGCCCCTTTGATAGGAGGGAGACTGAAATGCCACATCGTAAAGCTCCTGTTCATTCCTCCTTTCCCCAGCTTCATCCCTCACAAGCGAATAATGTCAAGTTGTTTCATCAATTTGAATCTCATCCTCCTAACATGAATTCTCAGGGAGAGTTGCTGTTGCCAGAAGGAATGGTTCATCACGACTCACCATCTAATCACCAATTTGTAGCAAATATGCTCCGTCCTCCTACCTCTGGATTATCCGGATTTGATCACTCTATTCATCACCCAATGTTGCAGCAGATTCAAACTTCAGTCAACCTTCCCCCACAGCATCTACTACAAGGGTTATCTAGAGGTGCACCTCCGCCTATGACAAACAGAAGCGTTCCTCTACATCCTCACTCTGTCAGAGGTAGTGCGGCACCTCCCCAACCCAACAACCAGGTTTCTGGTTTGGTGCAGGAACTGAATTCAATCCAAGGTTTTCATATCGGTCAGCGTGTGCCTAATATGGGTGGCCCCAGAATACCCTCTCCAGGTAACCTCTCATGACATTTTGCTTGCACTTCAGGCGCTATTTTTTTTATTTTTTATTTTTGATTTAATTGATTTTATTTTATTTACCGATAGACCAGTTCCCATTTTCTGCGTATTTGGTCATTATTTGTTTACTTTTTGCCAAATCGATATGGCCACTATTAAATGTTGCTGATTAATAATATCTTTTGTCCTTTAGCAAAATGAAGCAATTTTAAGAACTTTGACCCATTTGGTATTGGTTCTGCTTAAGACCTTCTTTACTTTCCAGTTGCGTTTGGCATGTTTTTTGAATTTTTTTTTTATTTATTTAAATTTTAAGTGAAGCACTTCTGATAGAAAATTAGTTAAATGTTCCCTCTAACAGAACTTTAAAATGTTTTTTTATCTGTTTTTAGAATTTCTTGAACCACATTAACTCATTGAAATTTTTAGAAGTTCTTTTAACGGGTCTAAAACACTTTTTACCCCTCTTTAGAATTTTAACCAAATACGATTCAATTTTTTAGTCGAGCACCTGCAAGCTAAACAGACTTATTCGAGCTTAAAATTCCCAGTCTCTGTGCATGTCTGCTGTTGAATACACAAAGCAACATAAAGAAAGGCATTTGAATCGTCTTATTTAGTGCGTGGCTCTCTTTTTTATTTTGTTTTCTGGTTTAAACTTACAGCTCCTGGTATTGGAGGCAACCAACCCGATGCAATTCAGAGGCTCATCCAAATGGGACACAGATCAAACCCACCAAAGCAAATTCATCCTCTTTCTGCCAGTGGCCATGGCCAGGGGATTTATGGCCACGAGTTGAACATGGGTTATGGGTACAGGTAATTGTAACACTCTTACTTCCTTCATACTTGCCCAAATCCTTAATTTCTCCGATAGAGAATGGACCCAATATGCTCCTCTTAGTAGGATTGAGTGAGAAATGTAAGTAATGAATCCTTCTTATGTTTGTTTTGTCGATTTGTCTTTTGCTGATTTCCCGCCTGATTTTTTAATTTGAAATGAAGTCCAACGTAACCTGAGAAAGAGAAATTAGCAGGTGAAAGAATTCACATGGTTTTCGCTCTTAGGCATTTTAAGAAATGGGTTGTGTCTTCAACAGGGTTTTAGTAGGGAGCCATTTTTACTAGTTAAAACTTTCGAGGCGATTCAGTCAACTTGGGGAAGAGGATGAAGTGGGGGAACCCATCTTTGCTATATTTGGCTCACCAAGTATTCGTATGCTAGATTGGGGGAAGTTTCTAGTACCACGCCACTACTGTTAAAGAATGGTACGATCTACAGAATAAAATAATATATTATTTAACGTGTCAAATGGTAAATGAAAGGAGTATATATTCTCGTAGAAATTTTCTCCTAGATCGAGCTTTTCTACCAACGGAGTTTTAAGCGATGTTTAGCGTGCATTAATGAAAATGTGTAGGTTCAGAAGTAGAACAGTTGTGAGCTGACCGGGAATGAATTTTGAAGTTAGAAACTTCATAGTATTTTTAGAAATATTTGTTTCCCCGAAATGTAATCTTCATAGTTGGGTTGGTTTTAGATGATTTGGATTTGCTTTTTAAAGAAAATAAATAAAAATTAAACTTTGCTGATTTATTAAGAATAATGTCTATTTTTCAAAATTACCAACTAAAATTCAATTTTATATCTTTTTGTTGATCAATCAATTGCATTTCAAATGGTATTTTGGTTAGTATTGTTAGTTATGGCTGATAAAAGAATGATATTTTAACTAACTAGTATTAAAATCCATTAAAAGTACAAACATAGAGTAGGTTTTCGTTTTATTATAGTTTGACTTAAATTTTCCAAATGGTTCTAAAGGTGCGAACTGTTTTAGAAAGCAACATTGGACAATTCAGTAGGGATGTCATTTTTTCTTATGTCTTTGAATTATGTAATTCTCGATGAGCTGTTTCAAATTTCATTTCACTTAAGCAAGGTTGATGAATCGAAAAATCGTCTACCAATCGTGTTTTTGGCTATTATATTGGCCAAACTTCAAAGCAATGTATCATCAACTCAAGCCTAGGCAAAATATTCATGATTTCAAGTTAGTTTATTGCTTACAAATGTGTATCCTAAAGAAAAAGAGAGACCAGAATAAATAGTTATCAACTTTTTAATGGCAGTAAATACGTACGATATTGTACCATGTAATATCATAAATAAGATCATTTTATGACCCTACCTTGTGTCGAATATAGTTTTGTTCACATTATTATTACATCTATAAGATACCAATTAGCATTACAAACCAAATACAGTGATACGCACTCAAGCCTCTATACATGATCATCCGCGGGGAACAAAGCACACAGTAAAATCACTGAATCAATCCTACACTGCTTTATGCTCAACTTCTACCATGTACAAGGATACATTCCAAAAAGGATCACCGTGCAGTACTAGATCGATCTATTCGTCCACATAATGTACTGTGCATATACAATATATGTGACAAGAAACGTTGGCAGAAGTTGGCTTCCCGACCCGACTTCTAGTTCTTCGATATTATTGTAGCAACGGGACAATCTTGATCCCGATGGGTAGCTTGTATTTACCTTATTATTTTCTAAGCGATAATGGTATTATCTGATCTGACAATGCATAGACTATTATAGAGGCTACCGGATTTAGCCTTCTTCAAGTCCTCATCATGTGATGAAATCAATCTTCTCTGTATTAATTTCATAGACATATCAGTAATCTATCGTTATTGAGAACCAAATAGTGTAAAGAAAAAAAAAACAAACAATAAATTAAAAAACAAAAAACAACAATAGATGACAAGTAAACCCCCAAATAATAGTTAATGTAAATATATGATCAACTGGTGTGCACCTATTAAACTAAAATGAAAGCAAGAGTAATTAAATCATTGTAGAATAAATTTGTATAAGAATAATTTCACTGTTAGAATGTCTATTTTACTAATGCTATCTACACAGTAAGTGAAATAAATCGACTGGCTGTACTGCAAAATTCTACTTGATACCTTAAATGACAGACTATAATACATTTTAAAGCTGAGCAGAAACAAATATTGAAGTTTCAAGAACTTCAACTGCCCTACTGGTTAGATAGAGACTGGCGTGCTCCCATCCTGTTGGTCTCAGCTTCAAGCCCGCAAAGTATCAGTTGTCTTAGTCCTCTTAACTAATGGTATGGGAAAACGTTCTCCATAATCCGAACGTCTGGCTTTAGACCTAGACCCCCATGTGACCGACACCAAAAGCGTGAACTTCACAGTGTTTGACATTTCACTGCCATGACCACCAGGAATGTAGACTTTCTAACAACAAGAGGCTCTTCTCATTGATGTAGTAAAAAGAATAGATAAATTTGATATTCCTCCTAGAAATTTACAAAACAATCTCCAATATGAGATAATAACAAATTACAGTTGGAGTAACTACAAAAGGAACATGAAATTCAACTATATCCAAATCTTCCTCCCAGCTTTCCTTGTCGTTGAAGATTCAGGAATTTCTTTCCAACCAACCATCCCTTTAACAGCATTGGTCCACAGAGCTTCACCCTTCCATCACCAAATAAGAACTGCAACAAGTATCCTTTTGCTAGCTATGGTAGCTAAATCTTGAAGATTATGTGGCTCCAACACTTTTAGTCTGAAGAACACCTAAAAACAGATGGTCTTGGCTTCCTTCGGCTTACTTACATAAAACATACCGACTTAAATTGGGCACCCTTTCTGAACTCCTTTGGTTGTGTTCATACTTCCATTACACGAGGTGCCATAGGGAATTTGCCTTTTTGGTTGTCCATCGTTTCCACATAGCTTAGCGAGGTTCTTTCCTTGAGTATTAAGTAATCTATTAAGCGAGAAGAAACTGTGAGGAAATGAGCATCTGCCATCCACACTCTTCAATCAGTACTACTAGTCAGGGGAGAAACAAAAAAGCATCGCCCTGTTTATACTGATTTAATTCCCACCCTATTTGTCCCAGACGGTCTGTGACCTCCTTTGGTTGCACAACAGCAAAATAATGGTGAAGGTGAAGGTATCTATCAGAGAGTTTTATCCCCCGTCCACTTTTCCTTCCAAAAGTTGGTTTTCTTCCTACCAAATAAAGAGGATCGCCAATAAAAATCCGTCATGAGACTCCAGTCCTGGTCAGTTGGGTTGATATACAATAGGGAAACAAAAGCCAACTAAACATAATACTTGGGCCAAAATTTGCCTTGTCACTCTCATAAAATACTCACCCGTAAGTCTCTTGGGCTCTCGAATCATAATTTTTTTTCCTTAAAAAAAAATGGGCACTCGATTCTCCCCCACCAGAAAGCAGCTCCATCTCCATCTCCTAGATATCTCTCTTTCTCGCCATCACTGCTGCTCTACTCTCTCTTCCTGCCAATCACAACTGATTGAAATTTGAATTTCCTTCTCGAATTTATTGATTTGGTGTGCTACATATATTGGCTCCTTCAATGGTGAAAAATAGTTTCGCCTCTGAATGTGTTAGAAATTCAACTATAAGGGGGAACATAACAAAGAAGTTAAATAAACTAGGATGCATCGTCAACCAGGACTGATACCCCTCTTTTCCCTTTCTTCCAGTTTTTCTTTGGTGGGGGCGAGGCTCAGACATTTTTCATGCGTCTGAATGTTGTTGTGGCTGTTGTTTTTGAGTGGAGATGAGCTGGTTGAGATTTGAGAAGAATCCCTCCTCCTTTACATATGGGCTCGGAACAGATGCTGTCAACAACGGTCTATCTAGTTCTGACCCAAAACTAAACCAATCAAACCGGATTAACCAAAATAAACAGTTCCAGTTTAAAATTGATTTCTTCATCTGCTTGCTGCTAAGGTTTTGCAATTTTAGCCTCAAAACAACCAAACATCTTGGTTCTATTGAAGGTTTGGTGGAAATTTGATCAAACTGACCTGACGTCAATCCTATTAGAGTACCAAAATTATTCATACTGCTCTTATTCAAATTGTTTGCTCGAGGTTCATGTCCCATGAAACAGTGTCTCCTAGAAATATAAACTTACCTCGAGTGGAAGTATATCGAGAGTTGTCGGTTATTTTGCAAATGTTTCACATCTATATACTAATACAATGTCATACAACCGTTGAACCTAGGTTACTTGAATGATGACTCAGCTAATTAGATCTAAGGCCAGGTTGGATGGGGGCATAGAAAAGGTTGTAGTCTGTAGAGGTGAAAAGCAATAGAAGGAAGTATTGGATCCAAACAAGCTTGAAGACCAAGTTATTAGGCTACAATATATAGTTGAACCTCAAGAACCTTGAGTCAACATGTAAACCATAAAGCATAAACACTAAATGAAATCATAACGATAGAACTTACATGATTCTCAAATTCTGGACTGAGCAAGTTGATGGCAAGGTTTTGCATTAAAAGCAGTGCCTGGGAGAAACAAACATATTTTTTAAGCACATGACAAAAGCAGCTTTACAAGTAAGGAGAATAATAACATGACAAGTTAGATCAAGAAATAAGACTGCTGCTACGTATTTATCATTACAGCTACCAAAATATCATTCCATGATGTCATAGACATTAAAATTATAGTGCATACCGTCTCTAAATCTATTGGGTCCATCTGTCTTAGTCTCTGAAGATGACCAGAGACACTGGGATCAAAAACACTGCCAATAAAGCTGTAAACCTGAGCAAAATCTGGCATTACTGGAGTGAAGCAAAGTAATGATGTTAATAAGTGCATGAATGAAAATATAGAAGTTGGCAAGATAAAGTTCCAGTTTTTATAATATAAGATGATACTTCGGTTTGACCAGTATTAATTAAAATGAAAAAATACATATGCACCAGAGAGGCAATAAGGAGTTTGAAAAGAGAGATGAGAAACTAAAAGGAAATTTTAAGCAAAAAGACAAGAGATGACCTAGAAATTTTGGAGGGGGTACAGATAGTGTTAGTTCGTGGTACGAGCTCAACAATAATTTGCATAACCAATTTGAAATCATTTTTTAAAATTCCCGAGCTGCTAGGCTCTGGAAGGATATCTCATCCTTTTTGCATCTTTGGTAATTTTTACATATGAATAGAACGGTCTTTTAGAGAAGAATATTACATTGAATTTAACATCCAATAATCCTTTTAGAAGAGGAATAAATCAGGATGCAACATGGCAATAACCCAATTAAAACAATTGCAAAAATATATCATAGTCAAATTGTTTAGAATTGTTGATTGCAAACTGAAAGACTATAATGAACAGTAAATTGAAGACATACCTCTGTTTCGCATGCTCTGATCTCCTTGTTCAGAAATTTCTCCAATTTTCCATGTCCTCGGCGTGCTCTCATTACTGCTACTGTAGCAACAGTTACTTGCAAATGTCGATCCAGCTAATTTTACACCATCTAAAAATAACATCATTAGTTTCAAAGAAGATTTAAAGAATAGACGTCATAATGATGGAAGAAACCAAAAAACAAAAAAAAAATTCACAGTAATAAAGAAGGATGACGATTGGAACCTTTAGGTACTTGTGTCGTCACATCAATAGTCGGCACAGGACTACAGCTCCAAGAAGAAATATTAGCGTTTGGACAGGGATGTCCAAACCCTGCTGTTGAGTCTGGAATGTAAATATATCTTTGTTCGAAGGGAGAAGATATAGGTTGATACGTCCCAGGATTCCGAGTGGTCACTGGAACCATCAGAAATTACACATCAATTCATATTATTTTTAAATGAAAGATCAACTAGCCAAAGAAACAATATACTGACCATTCTTAGGAGCTTTTTGTGGGTATGGATGAGATGCCTTCTTCTTCGGTCGAGGAGGAGGTACGTGCTCGCTTTTCCCACTCTTTTGGATCTTCAGAAAATATTTTTGAGCATGACTCCGAATCTGCAAGCCCCAAGGACAGAACTCGCAATTAAAAATAGCTGAAGAGATCTTCAGTAAAATTAGCTAGAAAAAATTCGGATTAGCATGAAATACATGATACACAAAGAATGGCGTCCAAATTTCATTTATAGCATGTGGACGGTAATACTACTAATCTCCAATCATCACAAGCACTGAGATTTTGGAATTTTAAGGATTGGTAAAATGTTACATAAATAAACTGAAATCTTAGACCTCAAGAAGACATCATACTGACTCCATCACACTTATAAGGACCAGCCCATCAGATATTGAACTTTCTTCCTTGAACCCAGTTCACCCAAAAATAAAATAGAAAGTTACGGAAACATAACTTTGGAGAAATGAGGAGTTCATATCACTGTGAGAAATTACCTGGATAACTGTTTTTGAGCCAACAAATGCTTCTATCTTCTTCCAGTCACGATCAAATCTGTAGGGAGTAGAGCACAAATATACAAATAAAATTAAGAAATGATTACATAAGAAGCAAGGCCAAAACCAAGCTCTTATTAATAAACTATTGATATAGCATTGGTGATATTGACTTCATATTGAGATTCTAATATCCAGCTACTGTGAAGGCATCCTTGGCAAATTTCCAAAGAGGCTCGCATTTGTTAAAGAACCCTCTAATCACTTCACTTACGAATTTCTCGCAATTAACTTTAACATTCAAATTGCCCACATCATCCATTCATGAATTTCATAACAATGATGATAAATTTGAGGTTTTAGATGAAGACGATCAAATTCCCTTGGTCTTTTCTTCATCCAAAGGACTTAAACCCACAATAAAAAGATCATCACTAAAGGTATAGGATGGTGCCCTTTCCACATTTTAGACAGAGAGAAAAGAGTATTACCCCCAAGAATTTCGGGAAGATTTTTTTGACGAACTTTTAAGAACGAGAGATCAAAAGAGAGAGAGGTCAGACACGAGAGGGATAATAAAAGGTTCACGAGCTAATGGGAAAACGAAAATAAGTGTTCATTAAAACTTCAAAAAACCCAAATCCAAAAACAGTGTTCACTCTTTTACATCTAAAAGTGCAAAAGGTGGTGATGCGATTCGCCTAGACTTCAAATGTTTCGGAAACAACACGCAGTCCCTTGCTTCAAGTACTTGGCGCGAAAACAAGATTTTCATATTTATGTACGCGCCTCGAACCTAGAACAATTCTCACTAATTTGTAAAGAGGACGTGAATCTCCCTCATTAACGTCATATCGGTTGAAGAAAGACTTGAACACCTCTGTTTAAAATATAGAGTAACATAAACTAAGAACTAAGAATGAATCGTCCAATCAAAGATAACTAATATAACAGGAGTTCAAGCTCCACAACCTCAGGTCTGTTTTGACCAATTGGAAGAGTGTAAAAGACGACAACAAAGATCCTCTGTTTCCTTGTCCGAATTTGTAAAACAGAATTTACTGGTCATTGCACGAAATTCCAGATATTCAATCACTCAAAGTCATTGAACGCCATACTTTTGCTCACATGTAAGTCACAGAGAAATACGGACTGGCCAAAAAGCAAAATTCCTCCTCGGAAACTTTCTCGTCCTTTCCAGAATTCTCTCCGCTAAAAAACAGCGATAAGAAAAATATTCACACAATTCATTTGAATTCCCCATCAGAGAAAGGAAAAATCATCACTCACAATTGAAGAGCTTCAAGAAACTTGTCGTGCTCCTGCTCCGTCCAGCTCTCCCTCGACTTGGTAATCGTATAAGGCTTCCGAATCTTCTTGCTCACATCCTCCGAAACCGGGAAGGCAGTGGCACAATATGAGGTCGAAGTAGCCGGAGTAATAGTTCTTACTGAAGCAGTTTGCGGCGGAACAGAATCGATGCCCCGAAGCCGACTCATATTCGTCGAATCTGAGCAAAATCCTCGAGTAGGATGAGGATTGAGATTCAAAGACACCAAAAAATCATCAAAAGCTTCGAGAAACGCTTACTTTAAGATCAATCGTCAGTGTTGTTGGCTTGAATTCACCAATTTCCTCTGGTTTTGGCTCTAGAGTTTTCGCTTTCTATGGTGGAGTTGGGCTGAGTACGGAATGTGGCTTACAAGTTACAATACAACCGACTTTCGGATTTGAGCGAGCGAGAGGGAATACAATAATAATATAATATTGTAATTCTGTGTTCCAATCGTAACCTGTTTCGTTTGTGGTTGGATATGGACCGTACACGTGGCGCGTGGAGGTTCGCTTTGATTGATCCCGTGGGTGCTTTTGTCGCTAGGCAGTGATGGATTAGTAGAGAGGACGCGAGAGAGGACTTTCGTTTTCAATTTTTTCTAAAAATGTTTTGTTTATAAATTTTGTTCAATTTTGGAGACCATATTTCAAAAATTCAAAATATTAACTTATTTAATATAAATAAATCACATGGATGTTTCTTGTTCTTGGCCTTTTCATCCTAAAAGGACAAAAGGCGTCATTTTACCAAACTAATAGTTCATTAATATATCCTATTCAAATGAAGTGTGTGATAAAAATTTAACTCCAACCAGTATCGAGATTTTCTTCTATAACCTATCACAAGAATCAAGTCAGAATCTTAACATTAAGACTTTCTTTTTATAATACCAGTAACCAGACTTCCCTAACGAACTCATGCATCAAACACGTGCTTCGTACCAATTACGAGACAATATTTAAAAAGATACTTTCAAGCACGACTCTAGAACACCCGATTTTGAACTAAACAAACTGAAACTTGTTAAAACTACGAGCTAAACAAGTGTTCTCCAATTGACATCATCTCTCGAAACTCGCACCCCGAATCCAACGTTTAAGGGAGAAGAAGGATTGGGCAAAGAAAAGGAAATGGATGAGTGTTGGGAAAGGCATGGAGCACTGAAACAGAATCGGTTATCCGTTTGAGAGAGAGAGCGAAAAGAACCTCTGCGTCGCCCATGGTAGGCAAGGAAATCGCATAAGAACATTCTAGTTTTTTTTTTTTTAATCCACATCCACGTGTACTCGCCAGCCAATCAGAATGTGCCACCACAGCTGATTAAGCAACTAATTGCTGTCCTAGTTCTCGTATATTTGGCAATAAATGTCTAATTAATGTTTAGTTTTTTTTCTTTTCTTCTTTCATAGGATTTGATGGATGATAAAAAATAACATGTTTCTTTCATACTGCCATGTGGGAAACTTTTTGTTACAATACAAGCAATAAAGTAAAGCAAACTTTTTTCTTGATTTTTGAAAAAATTAATGTCCATACAAATCAACTGAATATGAACAAAAATTTCAACAGGAGATGTATAACAGTTTCGTCATTACCATATGATAACAAACCTATACTCGCCGTAATAATTGGAGTCAAACCTGGTCAACTTTCTACCTCATAAAAGAATAGGCAGAAATATAAGTAAAGTGAAGTAATGAGAAACTGACAAGGTGATTCCTCGGGGGAGGATGGATATTGACTTCATTTCATGGAATAGATTTGTAAAAAAGGAACAGGTAGAAGTCACCGACCATTTTCGACCAAAAGGTTGAAAATTCGAACTTCTGCCCCTACAAGTTATTGAACTCCAAAAAAGAAAAAATAAAAAACAGAATCAAGCTAAGGTTGGCATTTCCCGCCTAATTTACCTTTTCCAACAAAAATCCAGACTTTTCAAGCACTCATAAACGTAAACCATGTATCTCATTGACCTAATTGTGTCCACACACATAAAATAATAAATAATATTAGGTACACAATACTCATCTTCCACTAAAAATGGGGTGGAAATATGGGTAAGGACTGTTTATGTTTGAGAATACAAGCTTCAACTTTAAGTTAGCATTTTTCAAGGTTAATGGACATGTTTTTGAATTATGTGCTTTGAAGGCCAAAAGTTGTTTAAAAAGCTTCACCTAACCTACCATCAACTTTGACTTGAGGATTAAGCAAAGACATAGTTTTTTTTTTTTTATTATACTATGAGTCGAAGTTTTGCTCTCCTATACTTAAGGGCACCCACACCCACCCCAAGGTTCAGACTCGAGAGACATCGAGAATTTTTTGTATGAAGCTCCCCATAAAGCAAAGACATAGATTTACACTTAGAGATCTACTTGAGGGAGAAAGTGCGTTCAATCTTTAAGAAATCTCAGTAAAACTCTAAAATAGATTACAAAGTACACTCATTCATCCACAGGCTGAGCATAAAGCCAACAACTTCAAAGCCTATAGTAAAGAAGGTGGCATTTAGATGGCAAACAAGGAAGAAAGAGGAATAAGGTACCAAAAACGAGGAAAGGAGAAAGAATGCTCTACAACTTTTAAAGCTTTCAAAATTATGCAAACCTTGAATTAGTGGACAAATGGGGTGGAAATTTTGAAGACTTCTAATCTAACCAGCGAGTTACTCCATCATCGCCTACGGTTGCCAGAACCTCGATGCGCACATCCAAAAGTGCCTACAATTTTCATCAAAATAACCAATACCATAGAGATGAGCGGAAGAAAAGGATTGAGCTATAGAAAGAAGTTCTTACGCATCACATACTGCAAAAGCAACAATGGTACTATGTGACATTACATGTTCTCAAACTGTGAATGTGCAGACAGCATAATACAAGCCACACATAGTTCAGAAAGTATGTGGGATGACTTTTAACAGTAATCTTGAGTAAAATGCTTCTTTAATGGATAGATTTAGGGGGAAAAAACGCTAATAAAGTGCTCACTTTCAATGCACTTTAGAATTATTAAGAACACATTGGACCATATAACCAAACACCGTGAAAAAAATTAATTTGAAAGTACTTTTAACTTGACTAAAAACATATCTTTAGTGTTCATTCAAATATGTATTTTAAAGCAATCTGCTTTATAAAAAAATGTTTTTTATTTATTACCAAAAATGGTAGATTTTTACAAAAAAAAAAAAACTTTTAATTATTTAAAATAACTTGGAAAACTATTACAAAACACACTCTAAATTGGTTGTCTAAAAAACATTTTTTTTTCAAAAGCTAAACTAACTGACGTCATACATGGAAACATGAGACTTTTCGATTAAACAAATAGAAAGCCCAAATGGCCATATCTTACTAAACAGATAAATCAGGCATTAGAATCACATCCACAAGTATACCAAGTATGGTCTATAGAAAACTACACTCTCCCCCATGGAGGGAAGAGGGGAGAGGAAAGTCAGATAGATCTTCATTAGAACTAAACCTTTAGGGCCGAGAGAGAGAGAGAAGAAAATAACTACTACTTACATGAATTAGAAATGGAATGCAATCAAGAAAGCAATAAGAAAAGAACTTACCATTGGGTTTCTACAATTGACCAGCCTACATTCGTCCAGAGAACCTTCAAGCGTCCAACTCTCCCAAACATCAAAACTGTGGCTAGCAAATACGAACTCCGTTCTACGATTGATCTACAACATGAAAGTCAAACCACACCTTCTTAAGATATAGAGATAACAAATTAAAACATTTTTACAACAACCAGATGGGCCTCGCTGAAGTGGTTTTAATTCCATGGGTTTTTATTTTACCCAAAAAATAAAAAATAGAAATAGAAATGGTAAACATTTCGTTGGGGTGAAGTGAAAAGTTGCGATGGATAGAGGGAAGAGCCACTTAAGCCAATAAAAAAGAGCTCCAATTGGCATGCATCATAAAAGGGGAATAATTACAGAAATTTCAAAGATTTATAACCAAAAAAAAGTTTCAACCCTATTCTGCTCAGTTTACTTCTATTTGCCAAAATGTTCCACTCTTAATGAGAATAACATCAACGTCTTCATACAATGTGTGGGTGTGGGTGTGGGTGTGGGTGTAGGTGTAGGTGTGGGTGTGCACCAAGACTCAGAGTTCTAGCCCAATATGGTACAGCAACCTTGTACTCTTACCTGCAATAACTTCCCGCCAGCAGATAGAGATCGTAGACCAATTGTGTCCTGAAAAATAGAGTATCGTAAGATGATACCTCATACCAGCCATCAAATAGCAACAAAAGTCCAACAAAAGAAGGTTCCCAAACAAACCTTGCTTCTGAAAACAACAAGAAACTGTGCAGCAGGGTCTCTTTTTGTCACATCTGTCATGGTATCAAGAAACCAACCGCCACCTTTAACTCTTTGCCGGGATACATGGAGTGCAGGACGATCTCTAGCATATATGGCTACAACATAGCCGTCTTTCAGCTGATCAATTGACTTTCTAACTAGTTTTTTGCTGGATTTAAGTGATGGATCTGAGGTAGATTCTTGCATAGACTCCATAGGCACTTTCCTGTTTCTTGATTCATCGGGGGAAGCAAATCGAGAACTTGAACTTAATACTTGATCTGTGCCACTCATAGCAGTATCATCCTCTCGGTGAGAGGTGCTTTCTTTTTCTAAAACAAGAGAATCGTCTAACTTTTGTTGAGATTTTTGACGTGTATGCCTTTTTTTGGCTTTCTTACCAGACCTACTGCGTCTTCCATCAGACCGGGTGACAGTAGTCTGGGACAAACTGGAACTCTGAGGCTGACTGGAAGTCTCAGTTGAGAGAGTCAACCCTTTCTTCTGGGAGCTCTCTGAAGTTAAGCGGTTATCATCAGTCAACTGCTCAACAACTGCAAGCTGAAGGGTGCCTTCCCTGCCTCGGCCATCAGACTGTTCTTTTACCTCACTAACTTCACTTTCGTCTTCATCCCCGTCAGATATGGCATTCTCAGGAACTGCCCCATCAACAAAGAATGTTTGTAATATGGAGATGCATTTCTCCCTGATCTCCATCCAAACTTCTTCACTGTAATCTGCACTGTGTGGAAGTATCAAAACATTTGGCATTTCCTTCACCTGTGGCAAAGTTATGATTTAATTTGACTGTTAAACTAGAATCCTTTTAGACTCTTACCCATTCTAGAATTCCCACTAGTTTTGGAACCATGGATAGGTGAAGTATGCGATTAACAATGAGTTGCAACAATATAAGATTCAAAATGCTAACACTCCAAAATAACCCTGGCAAAATTTACATACCCATGCTTCCATCCACTGTGGCCCCTCAGCACCATCCAGAGCACAGCCAGCCAAGGATCCGTCAATCAGAAGTTGTTTCACAGCACAATCATCCAATAATTGGCTGCTACCAGTATTAACAAGAAATGCCCCTGTAAAATGCGATAATCTCCCATTAACAGATAACAGATGGAAAAACAAACTTTCAATAATGAATTCAAATTCATGCGCATTAATACATACCAGGCTTTATATGCTGCAGACATTCAGAATTGATAATCTGAACTGTATCGTTTGTAAGGGCACAGTGAAGTGATATAAGATCACTTGCAGCAAGCAAATCATTGAGAGTATCCATTCTTCGAGCAGCAGATGGGAATGTTATTGTAGACTTGCTCACCTTTCCCTATGTAAAGGGAGTCCAGAGCAAAAATGTTTTTAAAAAATGCCAACAGTCAAAAAGAAACATAAACTATTGCCAGTCAAGGTAAAACGCAAACAAGTAGATGAATAATGAATTTACCAATAACGAGGTAGCAGGAGCACTGCTACTCCCACATTCATGAAGCTACCCAAGATGAAAAAAGTTGGAAAAATTAAAACCACCGGGTAGATATGAACTAAGAACAAATGACAAGTCCTTGTAAAACTTCACTTGGCCCAAAGTCTAGTGCACCAGAAGACAGGGGAATCAGAATTCTGCTATATCAAGTGGATATCCAATAGAATCAACGGTTTCAATTTGTAGGCATCATATAAAGCCTAGTGCGGAGATCAAAGAACGAATAAGCTGACTGGAAGTTTTACATTGTCACTCAAATCCCAATGAACGCAACCCTCCCAGATCCAACAAAGACAGTACTGCAATCTAGCTATGGAATCACGTCACTTGGAACCAAATACTCTAGGGAAGTAAAAGAAGACTTAAACGTTAACTTAAGCAGCGATACTTACATCATTGACATCAAAATAAAGCACGCTAATCTTGAAGGCTAAGCTCCTCGTAGCCAAAGCCCTAGCTGAAGAAGATCTACCAACTATTCCCAGAACCAATCCTCGACACCGCCTCATTCCACGGCAAAGAGGCTGAACAGACCCAAGCCATCCCGAAGCCGAGAGTGTATGGCGCGAGAGTAGGTGAGTACGGCGAAGCAAGCCGAGGAAAAGCGCCATGACAGAGTCGGCGATCTCCTCCGCTCGGGAAGTATCGACATGAACCAAACGAAGGCCGAGATCCGCAGCCAAAGCGGAGTCGACGGAGCGGTCAGCAGAGCCAAGGCAGAGGATAAGATGGTAAGGATGGAGCCGGCGCTGAGCAGCCCGCGGGAGGTACGCAAGCGAGTGAAGAAGCACCGCCGCAGCCGACTCGATTTTCCCGTCCGCCAAACGACTGAGCGGCACATGCTCCACCACCGCAACGCCGGCCAGACAGTCCTGTTCCAGCGAACAATCTTCGATGCAGTTGAGAGTAACAACCAAGGGGAGAGGCTTAGGGTTATTCCGATGAGGCATTGCGGCGGAGGATCTGAGATTGCTGTGCATCGTCGCCGCCTCCGTCGCAGCTGCTGAAATGATGCTGCCTCCTCGCCGGAGCTCGTATATCTACCGCAACAAGGGGCAGAGGCCGTGATTCCGGTGGAATCTCAAGAGAAATTCAACATGTCTTCACCGGCAGTGGTTGAAGTAGCTGGTTGAAGGTTCCTTCCGGCGAGGGGTCGTTTTTCAGAGCGGGGAAAAAGTTTGGTTTTCGGTCAGTCAGATCTGTGCCCTCCACCAGGTTATTACATACCCTCGTGATTTCACTTTATTCCCTTCATGTCCTCCCTTTAAATTATTGCAACCATGACCATATTATTCCTATATACTAATTTCAATTTTCAACCCAATAATCGATTTCAAATTTCATTTGCAAATATGATGTTGCTGTGATGTCCTCGATCCAATTGATATTTTAGTCTTTATATTTTAATATTCATTTTAATTTAATCTTCCTACTTTTAAAAATTTATTAGCCATGTTAAAAGATATTACGTTTTAGTTAAATTATAAAATTGATCCCGATAGTTTTGATATAATTTTATAAGTTTCAATTTAATTCATATTTAGTTTCAATTTAGTTACGGTGGATTCCTTAAATATTAGTCATTCCTGAATTATAGGGCATCCGTTTTTTTTTATTATTTTATTGTTTACTCAACTTTGGGAAAAAAATTAAACCTCAATTCAACCTACTAATGAGAAATAAATAATAAAAAAGTAAATACATTAATGACTACTCGTGAAATTTTGACCAAATCATGGACTACTACAGATAATTAATTTATTTTTTTTCTAGTAAATGAGGTTTTATGGACAAGCACCAAACTTTTGACATAAAAAATAACAATTTTTTTTCAGTACAACAAACGAGAATTCGAACTCGTGACTTATTGGTTAGAGACGGACAACAAGATTAACTTCAGATTGGCAATAACAATGTTATAATATGGTTTTAAAGGGAATGTGAATTTAAATTATATTATAGTAAAAGTTACTTATAGCTTAAGGATTATATACTATGCTGGTTCCTCTATTTTTACTCATCTTCATTTTATTTTATATATTTTCAAAACGTTTATTTTAATCATTTACTTTAAATTTGTGTTATTTTTAGAAATTATATTTTTCAAAGCATCAGTTTTGGTCTATATACTTAAAACGAGTGATTGATTTGACTTGTATTAGTAAAATGTTAACACAAAAATGTATACACATGAATAAACTAAAATGAAAAAAATAAATGAGATAAAAATATGTACTCGTCTTTTTTAAAGTTCATGGACCAAAATATACGTTTTGAAAATACATAAATTAAAATAAACAAAAATTAAAAATAAGAAAATCAAAATACATTTTAAAAATATATGAACCAAAGAAAAAACACATTAACGGTATTTACACCTAATTTAAAATTTTGATTATTTGATATGACATTGTGTTGTATGGGCTAATTATAATATTTAATTTTTTAGATTATCTAAGCAATGTTTGTAATTGTTTGATGTTATTGAAAAGTTTGATGATTCGATGTTGTTGAGCAAAGAGTTTGGCTTGCCGTTTATACTATTTTATTTGCTTCAAAAAAAAAATTTTTTTCGCTTGAAAGAATATTATTTTATTCGCTTCTGTTGTGTATACGTTATAATAATTTTTATATTATATCCATATAGATTATTTCGTAGATGCATAGGATAAAATTAAAAGGAGAAGAATATTCGAGAATCTATTAAGCCATGTTGGTGGAGAAAAATGTTGGAAAGCATCATGTCAAAACAATTTAATTGAATTCATTTTCAAAGTAATAATAATACCATAATTGTATCAAAATATAATAATAATAAGCTTTGAATACCATATTTGAATCATGTATTTTTATTTTGGTTTATTTTAGTCACTATACTTTTAAAATATCAATTTTGGTCTATACGAAAATTTTATGCAGCATAGTTCAGCGGTAATTCGAACGTACTATTTTCCTTTGAGATCATTTTATTCATTGTACTTTCGATGTTCGTTTTAGTACTTGTAAGAAGTAACCATTCTGGCATCTTCATTTTTATTTCAATTAAATTGTTAATTTGACATTTCACTCACTAAAATTTTTGAAATGTAGCCATAAATTTATATTAAATATTTTTCATTATGTATAAAATTTGTACTAATCATTTTGCAAATAGAAACCAAAATGGTACTTTTTAAAAGCATAAGGACCTGAATAAACGTTTTAAAAGTATATAGACTCATGTAAATAAAAATTGAAAGTATAAAGATTAAAGTAGACATTTTGAAAATACAAGATCAAAATAAACCAAAAGTAGACGGACCAACAAAAATATACGAACCTAATAATAAATTGAACTCATCCAATAGTTTGTAAATTCAATTCTCTCGATTACTGAAATGCACCCGGCACATCTAATACCACTCTAAATAGGTATTTAATTGTCAACACGAACTTAGTTAAGAACTCATGAAATCCATTCTTTACCTATTTTTTGTACTAAGAAATTTTTTCATATAAACTTTAAACTATACCTTTATTTACCTACTATATTGGGTGAAATATATACTTTTCTCAATTTTATATTTCAACCTTTCAATTTATAAAAATTTGATTTTTACCATCTAACTTTCACTCCACTTTGATCCATAACTTCTTTTGAATTCGATTATTCCATCCCTTGTCAAAGTATAAAAATATGAAAAATATTTGTTCGCATACCTCATCACTGTTAAATCTTTATACTTTAAAAACAACCCTTTCAATTTTTACTATTAAAAAGAGACCAATTCAATCCCAATTGTATACACAATAAAAATATTCTAATCTAAATTTATAGCTACATTTTTTAAAAAATGCTAAAATTGTAATCGAAAGAAATGAGATAAAAATAAAAATAAAAAGATCAAAATAGTTGCCTTTTGAAAATACAGCAAAAAGAAAAAGAACTTGAAAACCTTTTTTGTAATTAGTCCGTGACACATTTATTAGCTATAGTCCAAAACAAAAATCAAGAAGTGAAAACGAAATCAAACTAAATTCACTTCCTAACTAAAATTAAATCAGACAGAAGCAACAATAATTTATGGGTCCAATGCATGAACCAATCATACTAAAGAAACAGTAGAACAAATCATACGCTAAATATGTCACATTCACAGAACTCATCCAGAGAAATTTGCTACAACAAAGTCATTTTCTCTGCACTCCGTGAAGGAAAGCTAAGAAAATTTTTGGACAGAACAACTCAAACCAAGGAAAAAAAAACCAAAACAAAAAACTCTTACTACTTGTACTTTATCATTTGAACATTTTGATCCTCCTCGTTTCATTTGTTTCGTGTTAGTTCTCGTACTATTTCTCCAAAAATTAACTATCCAGTTAAATAATAATCAAAAGCTGACGTTTTTCTCTTATCGACTCTGACATATCATAATGTCATGGCAATTTCCCCCGTGTACTAAGTCAACTTTTTGGTACCATTTAACTGGATAATCAATCTTAGAAACTAAAACGAATACAAGTACCGAGGCTAAATCGAAACAAATCAAGACTTGGGGGAAAAATGGCAAAGTAAAGCGACTATATTTGTAATGTAACAAAAAAGGGGAGGAGATTATTCTATACAACGCCGGAAAAGAAAAGTAGATGCTCTTTAAAACGAAGTCAAACCTCACACAAGCTTATTCTGTAATCTGTCCTAGGAAATCATTTTTCTCTGCAGGGTCGTGTTCCGATAAAAGACTACATCGGTCGAGGATACGCACCACCGAGAGCCCTGCATTTTATATAAAATAAAGTATTTATAAAATGTTAAGCAGCCATGGAATGAGCAAGAAGGTCTCTGATGCCTGAGAGAGAGTGCTTTCCATGCAGAGAAAAGAACAAAAAGGAGAGACTGTACAGCTTTCATCCTGCCTACAGAAGAAGTTAAAGCTCAACATCCTCGAGTGGCTGTCGCTGATTTCTTGATCCTGTTCAAACCCCTAAAACAAACTTATTACTTCCTTGCCTGCATAAACTTTACGTTACATCCAGGCTTAACCATTGGGAACCCGAAACGTTCTCCGCCTTTATTGTCTATTCACTCGCTAGAATGACAGTGTCCAGATTCCCAAGTATCAATACCCTAATTACAAAAACCGTCGTCTAAAATGCCTGGTTGTGGTTTGGTATGAACGCATGAGCAGGCCAACCCCGATTCCAACTCCGAGGCACACTCCGAGACCAATACCAACACCCACTCTAACACCAGCATTAAACCACGATAGCTGCCCATCTTCACCAGTATACACATCATCACAATAGTAACCATGCTCCATCTTAACATCTGGGTCATAATCATCAACTTCAGACCCCGTCATCTAAATGAACCCAAGAGAGCAATATAATCAGTACATTAAAAAGCAATTGAATTGTACCCAAAAAGACACAAGAAAAACATTGTAGTATTCCGAGAAATTGCTTAGTTTTCAATCATTGGATGAGGTACAATGTATCAACAAACAGAGATCACATAAACAAGACAACCAAGATATTTTACTGCAATAAGAGGTAAAATAAGGTTCAACAACAGAGGAGGACCAAGTGGCCTGAATCCTCAACCGTAGTGAAGAGAAAAACACTTTGTGTTCTACATATCTTGCAATCAGCATTGCACAATACAGTGAAATTTGAACAATTATGTTTTTTCCAATGCATAGATACTATGAAGAGCATGATACATTGTGAGAGTCACTACTCAAAATGTTGTGCATAACAAATCGAGAAAAGATGTAGAGTACTATTTTCAAATTAAAATATTACCCATCCCAGCTCTATGTTATGATCGAAATTAAAATCAGTACCTAGTGACTTGTGAGAAAGCACTATTATCCTATATTCAAGCCTAGGTAAAAAACTTAGGTCTCGTTTGGTAACCATTTTATTTTTTATTTTCTATTTTTGAAAATTAAGCTTTCTAATACTACTTACATCCATGTTTTTTTTATTTTACTACCTATTTTTAAAAATGTTATCAAAGTGCAAGCTAAATTTTGGAAACTAAAAAAAATAGTTCTCAAAAACTTGTTTTTGTTTTTGAAATTTGGCTAAGAATGCAAATGTGTTTTTAAGAAATGTAAAAATATGCCCAGGAAATTGTGAGCAAATAAGCATAATTTTCAAATCAGAAACAAAAAAGTAAAAACTAAAAGGTTATCAAACTTGGCCTTAATAATTTAAGTTTGTCTATCGAGTTGGCCTTGGGTGTGTACAATCTCCAAAAAGGGTCATATATTAGTAGGAGCACG